GTCCCTGTGATTTTAATCAATGCCAGTCATCGGTGCTTCTGCATTTTAATTGGTTGTTACTATTCCAGGCTTCTGTCTCAAGGTGACTGCAGTCACAAGCTGGAGAAGTTTGCAGCTCAGGGAAATAAATAAACACCAGAATGAAGCAGGATGTGGGGTGGAATTCATAAAACTGTGAGCACCCAGAAACTGCTTCTTCAGTCTCATGGCCCAGCACAATTTAGTTTACGAACAGGAAGTGACAGTCAGTGTCCTTTTAGAGTGCCTGGGAGTCCCTTCTCCCCTTGGGGACTGAATGTTCAGCCTCTGCAGAAGCGAAGCCATTACCTCCCTAGCCCACCTCAGAAACTTCCGGACGCCCCAGCCTTGGTCCTACCAACCCAGATCAATAAACCATTTGACCTTCAAGAATCCCATTCTCTCTTTGTGTTCGGGTGGCATTTAGGGATGTGACTGAAAAAATCAAAGCTGCTTGGAATTGCAATAGAGCCGACTGCAGGGCTTAGGTCGGTCATTCAAACCTTCGCTGAGAGACTCGGACATCCTGGAGGACCAATGGGGTGAAGGCTGCTGCTGGCCTAGGAGTGGGCTCTCTGGGGGTGTCCAGGGACAAGGCCTTCTGTGAGGCCTGGCGCAGAGGGACCCGGTGCACCTTATCATGTGTCTTTAGGAGGCTGTTGGCATGAATGATCTGGGGTCCGGGGGAGGCTGTTCTTGGATGTTTTGATGGACAGACGCTGCTGTAGACTGAGCTCTGGATCTGCCCAGGCGCAGCCGCACTTCAGTCCTGTGCAGCTCGTGTTGGAGGAACTGGCAGGTGTGGAGGGGGCAGCAGGGTCGGAAGCAGAGTTAAGTGGAGGAAGAAGTAGGAGGCCGAGTGCGGCCAGATCTAGAAAAGCCCCACAGAAGCCTGAGAGGACTTTGGCCTTTGCTCAGTCAGATGGGAAATAAACAGAGCAACATGGTCTGAGCTTCATTTTGATCCAGACGAATAAAAATGCTGGCAATGTTGTGGCATCGATATTAGGGAGAAGGCCAGACTCTGAAGGTAGAGACAAAGGGTTTGCGGTGAGCTGCATCGAGGTGACAGAGAAGGATGACTCACTCCAAGGTTTCACCAGGAAAATCAGGACAGTGTGACATTCACTGAGACGAAAGAGTCTGTGGGAAGAAGTGTGTAGACGAGGAGGTGCAGCCTCTGGGGGGTCAGGGTCAGCCTCTGACTCTCAGTCAGGCACACTGGTCCGGGACTGGACAGACAGAGCCAGTTGATATGCTGGCTAGAAAGTCAGAGTCGGGAGCTGTATTTGTTACTTTTCCCACTGCCATAACAAAATACCTGATAAACGCGGTTTAAGGAACGAAGAGGCTTCTTTGCCCCACAGTTGGGGGTGACGCAGTCCTTCGTGGCGGGGAAGGTCTGGCAGTGAGATCATGATGAGGCGGATCACAGTTCGCCTACACTCAGGAGGCGAGGAAGATAGATATGGTGCTCTGCAATCTTTCTCCTTTTTTCTCTTTATATTCAACTGGGAACCCACCTTCAGGGGTTCCTTCCTTAGTAAAACCTCTGGAGAGAGCCTTATAGACACATCCGCTAGGTGATCCTAGGTCCCCTAGGTGATCCTAAGTCCAGTCAGCTTGATAATGAAAACTAGCCAGGAGTGATTGGCCTGTTGATGACATTTTTAGCCACAGGCTGGATGGAACCACTGGCAATAGGTAAAAGAGGCAGGGGGCAGGGCCTGGGCCTCTGACATTTGCAGACCTCCAAAGACAAAGGAGGCAGACGAGGAGCCAGCAGAGCAGGGGAAACTGAGGAACCAGCAGAGCAGGGGGAAACTGAGGAACCAGCAGAGCAGAGGGGGAAACTGAGGAACCAGCAGAGTAGGGGGGAACTGACCGTATAATGTCTGAGGAGCCACCGAGAGGACTGAGCGGTTATGTTAAATGCTCCGGTGGCTCACTTGAAAGGTAAGCCAGCTCAGACTGAGGGATGTGGTAACCGTGGTTCATCTGTGACCTTGGCAGGAGAACTTCCATAGCATGAGGGCTGTGAAGTAAAAAGCCTCATTCCAGTGGGTTTAACAGAATGAGAGTGAAGACGGACACTTCAGTGCGGAGAATCAGACTCCAAGCTAAGACAGAATAGTGTCGAGGTTTTATACGTTCTTTTTTACTAAAGACAAGAGAAAAACAACAGCATTGTGCTTATGTGTTAATGAGAATATCCAGAGAGGGGACAACTTGCCAGTGTACACGAGGGGACTTGTTGGGCTGGGGAACGGGAGAAGGCACTGATTTTAGATGTGTCATCAGTATAAACGAAGTGGCTTAACAGAGACGCAAACCAGGCGTGGGGATACACATGTCATCCCAGTCTCAGGAGGCTGAGGCAGGAGGATCGCAAGTTAGACGGTAGATAGGCTCCACAGCAAGGTCCAAGCCGGCCAAGCCTGGACAAGACCCTGCCTCAGGATTACAGAACAACACAAACTCATTGTCTTACCGTTCTGAAGGCTACACTCCCGAAAATCCATCTTCTGGAGGCCAGGAGAGTGACTTCACCTTGTGCTGTGCCAAAGCTTGTCTACCCCTTGCCTCTTGGCCCCCTTCTTCAAGTTCAAAGCCAGCCATGGAGACAGGGCTCGCCTCTCCCTCCCTCCACACATCACCTCTTCAGGCAGGACCTCTTCTCTCCTATAAGGGTTTTTTCTGATGCATTGAATCACCCAGATAACCCAAGGTCATCCTCCTGCCTCTGGAGCCTATGCATGGCTGCAAACTTCTTTCTGCCGTGGAGACAGACTAGTCGTAGGTTCTAGGTATTGGGGTACAGACATTGTTCTGTGAGTGGCAGGGAACAGCATGTGGGTTTGGGGCTGTTAGAGGAGTAGATGTGGTCACAGGGTCTGCTGAATCCTCTTCTGATTTTCCTATTTTCTAAGTGAGAGCAGAAGCCACATCACCCAACAGAGGATGGGAAGGTGGAGATGATGAAGGAGAGAAAGTGAAAACGGGAAGGAGGAGAGCGAACAAGTGGACGGAGGATACATTGTGTTTTCTGTGAGCCCTGAAGACCCGCAGGAGTTGGAAAGCAACATTGACATGCACTTGTATTCTCCATCTGTGGTGAAGTGTGCGGTGGAGCTGCTGAGATGGGGGAGGGGCAGGTATGGAGTAACAAGTGGCTGGATTCAACCAGACCTAAACTACAGGCGCACAGCAGGAAAGGGCAGGGAGTTAATGTGTAATAAACTGGCTGACCGTGGAATTGATGCCGGACTAGGAGGAGAGAGATTTCATGAAGGTGGCGAGGGAAACTTAAGACACAGTAGGGCTGGTGACTTTAGATAGTGATTCCGTTGGGGAATATCGAGAGTTTGGCTCTAGAGGAAGTGAGTTGCTGAGAAGTTAAGAGTAGCTGAAGAAGGTGTAGACACTTTGCAGTTCTCAGAGAAAAAAAGGTCCTGAGTGTATGAGGGAAGGCGATAAAGTGACAGAGGGCGACGTCTGGGGACACAGCTCAGCTGGTGAAGCATTTCGCTTGCGGATACAGGGACCTGCGTTCTAGCTCCAGAGCTGATGTCAAGAGCCAGGAGTGGTGGAGTTTCTAACCCCAGCACTGGGAGAGAGGAGAGTCTCTGGGGCTGGCTGGCCACCCAGCCAGATCCAAGCCCATGAGAGCTCCTCCCTCAGAAACCAAGGTGGGCAGCTCCTGAGGAATGACGCCAGAGGCTGAACTCTGGCTTCTCTGTGCATTCGCATACATGCAACACACACCCCACTTCTTGGTACCAACGCTGTCAAAGCCCTGTGGTGGTTAACAGGACAGCGGGTGCTCAAGCCTTAGGAGTTAAGGGAAGCATCGTGTGTGTGTGTGTGTGTGTGTGTGTGTGTGTGTGTGTGTGTGTGTGTGTGTGTGTCAGTGGGCACCTGAATCTAGGTGTAGGCTCAAAGGCAGGAGCTCCAAGTCAGCAATCCTTGCTGTGACTGACAAGAAAGCTCACAGGTGACCAGTCACACAGCTTCCCCGTTTGCTGTGGCTCAGAGGGACCGCCCTCACAGCTCATCCAGCCTTTTCTGAGTTCCACCCCCAAGGTACCCAGGATATGCCCTGCAATGTGCCGGACCTGCTGGGGGCCAGAGGTGAGAACAGGAGCCTCTGCCTGGGAGGATGCTCTGCCCCAGGCCCATACTACCCAGATTCCAGCTCCACCTTCTCCCGACACCCCTGTACCACACACACACACACACACGCACACGCACACGCGCACACACACACACACAATCAGTATGATAAGTCTATTTAACTCGAAATTCTCTGCCTTAAACTGCACTCTCTGGCTTTCAGGAATATACAATTGCTCACACAATAAAATCTGATTTTTCTCACTCCCTGAACGCAGTAGGTTTTGATTATGTGAGTGTATCATACTTTGCACTCAAGCATTCAACAAAAATTTCGTTTCAGTGAAAAACAAAAATCTTGTCAGTGTGCTGATAAGTTACAGCCAAGAGTCAAACCAGCAAGGAGGCAAATCTTCCCTTCTTTACCTCTCCTCCCCTCCTCCCTTCCACCTCCTCCTCCCCCTCCTCCTTTTGTCCACCTCCCCTTCCTCCCTCTGTCCACCTTCCCTTCCTCCCCTTCCCCCTCCTCCCTTCCTCTCCATCCTCCCTCTCCTTCCCTC